AGAAAGAAAGAAAGAAAGAAAGAAAGAAAGAAAGAAAGAAAGAAAGAAAGAAAGAAAGAAAGAGCTGTGAAGCTATAAAGTAAACTGCTGTTTACTTGGGCAAGTATATTAGATAGGCAGAGAAGGTGATTTAAATGGCAGCTGCTGGAGACAATAATCTCTTGCCATTTTGCAAGATTAAGTGTCTCCTTTAAAAAGTTGGCCTTGATCTGTCCTCTTTCGGACCCACAGCCATTTCCGGACATCATTGTTAAATGATGCTTGAAATAGTTAATTGCAAAAACATAGTTACATCCCGGCTTGACATTGACACACTGCAGTGGATCAGAGGGTGCTTCTTTTCTGCTTGACCAAAAACAAACAAACAAACGAAAAACCCAGAAGGGTGATTCTTTCTCAAACACCCCTCCCTCCACTTTCTCATTTTAGCCTTAGTCTTAACTGCCTCCAAATTAACCCTGAGAATCCAAGGAGGTTTCTCGGAGTCTGGAAGTCTTGTCTCCCCCTCGTCTTCAAAACAAAAAAAAAACCCCGATGCTCTGCTGATTGGGTTATTAGAAAGAAAATGCCATCTTGTCATTGGCTGACTAAGGGGTCTGCCCGTGGTTTGATTAATTTGGCAATGTGAAAAGCAACAGAAGGAGTTGCTCGAAATGCTGGACGGTGCACGGAATAACCAACCCTTGGCAGGCATCGAAAGCATTGCAGAGAGGCAGTGGGAACTTTATTTATTTATTTATTTATTTTTATTTGTCAATCGCTTACAAGATAATAGGTATAAGTATATACATAGTTATCAATACATGAAATGGGTACATATAAGAAAAATAAAAGAAAAAATAGGACAGGGACGGTAGGCACGTTGGTGCGCTTATGCACGCCCCCTACAGACCTCTTAGGAAAGGGGTGAGGTCAATAGTAGACAGTCTAAGGTTAAAGTTTTTGGGGTTTGGGTAAAAACCTTTATGAGATGCATTCACATGCATGCATACACTTTTACATAGAGGCTATCTGAACCACGCAATCACCAATGCAACAGAAATGAAATCAAGGGTTCACAAACCAGGCCTTGACAAAGAAGGATCTTCCATTTTGAGGGGGATAAGCGCATGTTCCCCAATGTTCATTCAGACTAAGGCTCTTTTCTGTTAATTGCCAAAGGGCACACAAATGAGTTTTTCTGTTAGGTGAATTTAGATAAAATACAAGGCTGGAGAAATGTGGCGGCTTGGTTTGGCTTGGCTTGGCTAAAATGGGGGAAGGAAGCATATGTTTCTGAGAAACCCGTTACTTTGCTTGGCAGACCAGATGATAATAAAATTTTAATGGCTTGAGAGTTGAGCCTGGTGCAGTTAAGTATGATACTGAAAGGTATCAGAATTCCCAAACTGGCCAGGAAGATTATATGCAATAACTTTCAGCTGTACAGCCAGTATTTTATGAAGCTCTGAGATTGTACTTTGATGTATGCAAATGGAAGAGTTAGTGCTATAATAAGCAATCCTCAATAGCAGAAAGGATGTTGTAGGAGTGATACTCCCATTTCCTGTTCAACAGAATATAACAAGGAGAAAAATAGCCTCAGATGGACCCCTTGTGCTGCTTCTTGTTGCTGTGTGGAATAACTGTTGAAAATGAGAGTTATCCTTTCAGACGGTTGACTGTCAACTGTGCATATCCACAACAGAAACCAAAGGAAGTATTAGTGTCACTTACAGTGGACTATTGAAAACCTAGAGGTATAAACTGCTGCAAAGTATAAATGGCATGGTTAAAAAAATAAAAATAAACAAGGCATGAATGTCTAATCTTCTGCCTTCAAATGTGCCCTCCAGAGGACCAGCACATCAGTGTGACTTTTGTAATTCAAACTAAACTCATCAGCTGTAGCTTGGCTTCTACTAGCCCTGGGCTTCTTTTACAAATAAATTTCATTTATGCTCCTGAATTATTTAAAGTTGGCGTAGAAGCCGGTCTCAAGGTCTCTTGAATATGCTCTTTGATATGTGAAAACCACAGCCTAGATGAAAGATAGGAAAGAACTAATAGACCTGAAAGGAACTTAGAAGGTGATCCTACTTGGTGGGAATGCTAACTCTTGCCTTGCCTTTTCTTCAGAGAATGGCCATGGTGTCTGCAATGTCCTGGGTCCTGTATTTGTGGATAAGTGCCTGTGCTGTACTGCTCTGCCAAGGGTCCCTTCATCAAACATTTCAGCAGCATCAGCATCTGCCCAGACCAGGTAAGATTATTCACAGTGGATACTGCTAGAGATGCCAGAATAGGCCTGTGAGTATGTATGATGTGCAATCAGCTCACATTTAAAAATCTGATAACGTAAGCACCTCAATGCTTGCTTGTCTGGAAAGGGAATACAACACTTATTTAGGTTGTGTATTTGTGTCTTTCCCCCCCCTCTCTCTGTGGCTTCTTTTTCCCACTTTACATTGGAAGCTCACTATGGGTAACTCATACCGTTTGCAATTCAGTCTTTGCTTAATGCACTGTGATATATGTGGGGGTGGATAGAAAATTAACCTTATTAAAAATCACAGGGTACAGGACTTAAAGTATAGCTTTTGTTGACTGGGGAATGAGCAACTGAGGCATTAGATCCCTGTATTAAAACCAAATATCCGCAAAGAGACCAGTGCCTAAATTGTGGGTCTGGAAATGGTACGAAAAACCAAGGAGAAAACAATATCTTTCCTAATGGGTATATTTTAACACCTTGGAAGACCTGTGAGAAAAATGTCAGAGAAAATATAAGCATATATTATACATGATATGCATATTCTTAGTTCTATTTGTACCATTTGGACTTACACTCTGGTAAGTGAGTCTATAGTTGCAGCTTAAGCCATCTTTTGGAGACCCTTTGCTTTAATTCCCATGCTGTGAAAGTATTAGTTCTATCAAAATGATGGCACAGAGTGTGAACAACAGTAAGCCATTGCCTGAATTTGTCACAGATGGTGATTTATGGTCATTTAGTGAGAAGTATTTCTAAAGGTGCTTGGAGGTTGAAGGAAGGAAAAGGATATTTGTGTTGGAAATAGAAATTGATTAAGGTAAGATTGAGTTTAAGGCATTTCATTACAACACTATTCCTCAAGTGGAGATCAGCTACGCAATATTTCAAGACTGACGGTTTGTTTGGGACTTGTTTCATGGCTTATGATTCAGGGAATGATCAATCATAATGATCAATTATGAACTATGTAAGACCATTCTATTGGAAATTTGGCTTTGGAAAGAAGGCTTTTGGAAAACAAAATGATGATGTTGGCGCTTGTTTGTTTGGTCTTTGTTGTTCCAAGATGAAATGACACGATACCATTTTAAAATGTACTCTCAAAGATCATATCTAAATGGATGAGAATGGATGGATGAAAGCATGAGTTCATACAATGTGGACTGAGAATTTAATGTAGGATTCAACTTCAGACTTCACTGAATCTCCAATCCAAAATGAAATAGTCTGAGGAAGAATGACTAACAATAATTCATAAGAACAATAGAAAAATGATTGATTGAAAACTTTTCCTAGATAAGCTCAAAAATGACAAGTTGCACTTGAGCACCCATTTTCTCTATTGAAACAGTACTAGTACAGCCATAATTTTAACATAGGAGAAAATCTCAATGAATTGCATTTGATGTATTCCATTTTAAGCTTTAAACATTGATTGTTCATGTATGACTTTCTACCTCTAATGATGAAAATGACAATTATTAGAACTGTTTAGATGTTTTTCTTCTGAAAGAACATCAAAAGAAGTATATCTACCTATAGATACAGAAAAGTGTTCTCTGTTATATGGCATTGACGATGACACAATGGATTAGCAAGTCCATAAATTAAAAAAAAAACAGTGACAAGGAAAATGAGGTCTCGTTTTTGCACAATCAGGTGAAACAAGAGAAAGAGAGAAAAAAATGAGGGATAGATATTCCTGTGGATTGGAGTATTCGCCTAAGCTTGAAAAATTGCCTCCTTTATTGAAGTAGAAGAGAATGGCATAGAATGCATACAGAATGTTGAAGAAATGGGAAATATGACATGTCTTTCACAGGGGCTGTGATATAGATAGAGTGAAGATTTTACAACTGTCTCCTCACCTGCTTAGGAACAGCAGAGCTGTTCCTCTTGTGAGACTATGAAGCAGTCAGCCTGCACCCTACATGAGTAAGATTGATGGTGTTCTGATCCAAGGCAACCAATTTCAGTCTCTCAAGAAATAATCCACTACTCTGACAGATGAGTGGAATTTGACAGAAATGCTCATGATGGTTTCACATTGCTATAAGTCTGCAGAGGGCAAGGCTTTGAGGAACCTCTAGAAAGATACAGCTGCATGTTTTGTTTTGTTTTAGAAGGTTCTGCTGGCATAATGTGGAAATTGTGCACGCAGACACATACACATTGGTGATCTGACTGGATAATGCATGTGGGAGATATACCCAGCAACCAATGAAAATATGCTAATATGAAAACGAACAGAGGTTTTTAACATATTCAACTTGGTCTCCAAGCATTTTCTATTTTTCAGACAGATATTATTAGGAATTCATCATTTACCACTTTGACTTAGCTACTGTTTAAGGAAGATTGAAACATTGCAGCAAGATAGGGGGAAGGAATTAAAAATTAGACAAGTTGGATAAATAGATAATTTTTCTAACGCATGACTGTTGTTTTATGAGACTTTGCTGTTTTTAATAGAAAAAAACCTTAATTGATTGTCAACTATGTCTCCTCCTCCATCATCATGAGCTACAATATTTCATTGCTAGTTTATAATCATTGTCAAGGTCCCTAATTTATAAGAAACAAGAAGCCCTTCCAAACAATCGAATTTGGGACTATCAAAGTGCAAAGAAATGCAAGAAGACAACTTGTCTTCTGCATCCTTGCCTCTGTAAATTAAAGATCAGTGTGTAGCATGTTAAATATCATCAGACGTAAACAACTTCTATTGTTCTTGAACTGAACTGTAAATGAGATTCATAAACATGGGTTAACTTTTATTTTTTTTTAAAAAAAAGAAACCCTGAAAGGTTAGTATAGCAAAATTAGAGCACAATGTTCACTTGTTTTAATTAAATTGTATTGGCGCAAAGACATGTAGGCATGCTTGATAGTTTCTACTTCTGCTCTCAAAAAACAAGCTTATCTGTGGGGTTTTCATGATGAAACACCTGCTGTTTCAATTCCATGGCTCCCCTGTAGTGGTTTTGTGTGTCCTCTTTAGCACCTGGCTTTCTGTTGGATCTATCCAATCTTTCTCTTCAATCCTGAGTCCATTGAATTGGAAACAAAAAAGTACTTAAAGGGAATAAAAAAAGAAAAAGAAATTGGAAGGGTCACCACAGGCATTGTTTTCTTGGTTTGCTTAGCACATGCTAGCTTCAAATATCTGTAATGCAGTTTTGATGTACAACGTCCACTGCAAAAAGTAGCAATTAATCTTTTTTGCTTTCATTTTGTTACCAATGTGAAAATGACAACATGACAGTTAATTACCAACCTCAGCACTTGCAGGCTGCACTTGCACAGTACATTCACTCATGAGTATCTGAAATTTGCCCATTTTGCTTGATTTTCTGAGTTCACAGAACATACCAACACTCAAAGAAATCGTACAAACTGCTTTCAGAATACATGCTTAGCTAAAATGTCTTTTTAGTGCCCAGTGAAAAAACAAACCGGGGTGGTGGTGGTGGTAGATTGGCTTCTTGTTTTGAAAGTAGGAGACTTCTATCACAGCTTCTCTTGTTCTACAGAATTCCTTAGGCACGTACAAAGTGGCTAAATGTGTATGGAGATTCTCGGTCATCCAGGTCATGGTTGTCCCTAAAGAGAAGCTTCTTCTGCTCTTCTTGGATGAAAAGCTAAACATCTTCAAAGAAAAACAAGAAAGTCCAGTTGCCTCTTGAAAAAGCACCTTTGGTACAAGGTGGCTATTGTTATAAGGTTACTTCATATGCAGAACAACATATTGACTACTTCAGGGGTGTCAAACTCAAGGATGTGGTTAGATCTGGCCCACAGGTCTACACTGGAAACAGCGAAGGACTGGCCTCTGGTGCCTCAGCCCCAGTCCCAGGCCAGCTGGGTGTTGATCTAAAGCTTGGTGGTGGACATCCAGACTGGAATGCAGTCAGCCTTAGATCTGGGGAACTGTCCTGGAGCCAGCAAGGGGTCACCCCGCCTCACCCTCTGGGCATGCACTGGAGACAATGGATCCCCCAACTCTGCCCAGGCCACCAGAGGTGCCCCCCCAATGTGAGCGATATCGATCTGGCCACACCCACCTGGCCATGCCTACCCAGTCAGCTTTGCCCCCCAGCCATGACCCCCTGAGGTCAACCATAACCCTGATGCAGCCCTTAATAAAATTGACTTTGACACCCCTGGGCTACTTAGATGAATTGCTGTGCCTTTTTATAAATTGTAATGAAAGCTGAATTCAAGGTTTGTTCTTTATTTGTCAGGCACACCTGGAATCTGCTATACTTGCTCTGATAAGTGCAATAAAAAGTCTGCTTTTGGGTAGGGGTATAAAATTGCACAAGGGGAGAGCAACTATGATCACCCAAACAACAGAAGAAGCCAAAATCAGATATCCAAATATCCAAAGGCATTAGAAGCACAGAGGAAATTAGAAGTACAAGCACAAGGAATGTAAAAAAAAACAACATCAATCTACTAGTTACTGAATTAATAAACAAGAGCAGTCTTCTCCAAGCCAGAGCTTTCAAAATGTCCTGAAATATAATTCTCATTATCCATAGCTAACTTGGTAGGAGATAACAAGATTTGTAGTTCAGTATATCTGGATGCTAATATATTGTGGAAGGCCAAGCTGGAAGGATAAATTATTTCTTAATTTTTCACTTTAACCCCTGGTAGAATAAAAGAACAACAGTGGAATAATTATAATAATCTACCTTAGAGTTAGAGGACTGACTTTTATTTAAGGTTGTTAACCTTTTGGTTTCAAAATTATGGAGCAGGGAGAGGCAACAAGTAGATGGGATTGGGTTGTCTTTTAGAAACTTCACTGTCCATAACGTGTAGTATGTCAGTCTTGGAAGCCATTTTTCTCTTGGGAGCTTTGACGCTGCCACATTCAGTGCCTGGGAATTTGGGAGGGTGGATTTCATAGTGGGGTAGAAGATTAGACACAACAACATTCAAGGAATGTTGCCCTGCACCTGGAGGGAAGTGATTGCAGG